GTCAACCTAATGAGTCTTCTCATCAAACGGCTTAACCATTCCCCAACTCTATTCCACATCCTCTTGACCTTTCTGCCATTAAACAACGTGCTTCAGACTTGGAAAAAGGAACCCATGTCTTGAGGTTTACAATCCAAGCAAAAACTAACAGACGACATAATGTAGTTGCGGAAAATATTGCTAAAAAAAAAAAAAAAGGCATCTGGCTGCAGATCAGGAGGAACATGGCATAGTGGTTACAGGATAGCTGAAGTAATATAGAAATGTAAGGCAGGAGATCCCCATAGTCATGCAGTTTTCTGGTCCTGTAAGATAATAGACTATCAATACACCAGTCCTAAAGTTAAAAACAGTAAGAGCAACCAACCATTCCTTCTTTTAAAGATGGATTCCAGGTATGAATATTTTTACACAGTTACAATGGTCCAGCTTGGACTATGTACAGTATATACCAGACTTTCTAAACCCTTTCTACACAGAGGAACCCTTGAAATGACTTTTTGGTCTCGGGGAACCCCTGCTAAAAATGACAGTATCTACAGCTCATGATACCTTCGTGCGATGGCCAGTGGGAAGAATGTTCCTTACACTTGTGGTCATTGAGAAGAATTACCCCCTTATAGATAGCTAAAAATATCAATGGTGTCAGCAGGAACCTATCTGAGAGGCAGATATTGCTTGTTGCTCAAGGAACCCTTAGCAACCTCTGGAGGAACCCTGGTTCAGAAACCCTGGTTTATACCATACCTGGCCAATGCCACTAGAAGCTAGAAATCCCTGAAGTAAACACCGATAGTACGCCGCTATTCCAACGATCTCCACTTGATTCCAGGTCCCCCCCCCGTGCTGTGTGGCTAGCCAACTGCATTCTGAAGACAGGTCTGCTGGTTGGCACTGGCACCATATTGCAAAGCGTTCATTGACTGAACAAAGTGGGGATGGAGGGCGGTGAAGTCACCGCTCAGCACAGGACTCAAGTGGAGATCACTGGAGTAGTGTCTAGTTCAGTGATTTCCAGGTTCTAGTGACATCGGCCAGGTATGGTATATACCAGGGTTTCTCAACCAGGTTCCTCCAGAGGTTGCTAAGGGTTCCTTGAGCAACAAGCAATATCTGCCTCTCAGATAGGTTCCTGCTGACACCATTGATTGCTCAAGGAACCCTTAGCAACTTCTGGAGGAACCCTGGTTGAGAAACCCTGGTATATATACCATACCTGGCCGATGCCCCCCAGAAGCTGGAAATCACTGAAGTAGACACTACTCCAGTGATCTCCACTTGCTTCTGAGTCCTGTGCTGAGTGGTGACTTTCACCGCCCTCCATCCCCACTTTGTTCTGTCAGTGAACGCTTTGTAATATGGTTCCAGTGTTGACCAGCAGACCTGTGTTCAGAATGCAGTTGGCCAGCCACACAGCACGGGACCTGGAAACAAGTGGAGATCGTTGTAATAGCGGCGTACTATCGGTGTCTACTTCAGGGATTTCCAGCTTCCAGGTCCATCGGCCAGGTATAATATATACATAGTTACATTAGACCAGTGTTTCTCAACTCCAGTCCTCATGGACCCCCAACAGGTCATGTTTTCAGGATTTCCCTCAGATGAAACAGCTGTGGTAATTACTAAGGCAGTGAAACTGATCAAATCACCTGTGCAAAATAATGGAAATTCTGAAAACATGGCCTGTTGGGGGTCCATGAGGACTGGAATTGAGAAACACTGCATTAGACCAAGGTGGAGCAATGTACCTGTAACCATGTATAAAATTTCCATACCTGGAATTCATCTTGAAATTGTTGGGGGAATTCCTCCCCAGGGAGGTGGGGAAGGCCTCTGGTTGGTGTTGGTGCCCAAGGTGCATGTCCCATAAAGAAAGCAAAAGAGGTCAGTAGAGAAAACTGCAGGCATTTAAAGACAAACAGGAGTGGCAAAAGTTAAACTTCTGAATTTTGGAATTTCCAATGAATATTGGGAAATTTTCTGATGTGTATGACACCAAATGGAAGGCAATCTTTGACTGCTTTTTTTATGCCCCTTTATATTAAGGAGAAACTTCACCCCCTTACATTTTTCAATTTATACCCCACCTTACCTTGTTTGCAGTGCAGTACCCACCCAGCTAATAAATCCATCTTTTTCTGTTGTAATCCATTGCCCGGCTGCTGCATGCTGAGTCCCATATTGCCATTTTCTTTCCTACGCCATCAGGGGGCTGGCTGCCTCTTCCTGTTGGCACCCTGATGATGCACCATGGCACATGCATAGTGTGCTGGATAATTGCCTGCTCATGTAAAGTGTGACATTTATTGCATGAAGCCTCCTGGGATGCATAACGGGGGTATCTAAGGTGACTGCGGCAGCTGGAGCTACGTCATTCTTGACTAGGCAAGAAAGGTAGAAGCTCTCATGATTTTAGTAAAAAGAGGTATTCGAAAAAAATTGCAAATGTGTTAAAGGAGTGGGGAAGTAACAACATTATATAAAGTAGAAGAGAAGAGTGAAGGTCCCCTTGAGCTTTACTCGTGTTTTTTTTTTCACTTCTAATTTAAGTAAAATTTTTTATTGATTAAAACAATAACAAAGTAACTCAAATTAATACTTCAAATGTCTATCAGTGTTAATCAGTGGTCTCTAAACTGTGACCCAGGGGCTGGATGTGGCCCTTTTCTTGCTTTTACCTGGTCCTTGGGGCACTATTCCTCCCACTGATACAAAGCAATATTTCTCCCACTGACACCAACAGTGTGGCATAATTCCTTTCACTGGCCCCAACAATTGGGCACTATTCCTACCACTGACCCCAACAATGAGGCACTATTCTTACCACTGACCCCAACAATGGGACACTATTCCTACCACTGACCCCAACAATGGGGCACTATTCCTACCACTGTCACCAATGATGAGGCACTATTCCTCCCATTGACCCAACAATGGGGAACTATTCCTCCACTGACACTGATTATGGGGCACTATTCATCGCACTGACACCAACAATGAGGCACTGTTTTTTTCACTGACGCCAACATAATGGGGCATAATTTCTTACACTGATATGAGCAATAGGGCACTATTCCTATCACTGACTCCAACAATGGGGCATTATTCCTACCACTGACACCAGCAAAGGGGCACTATTCCTCCCACTGACCCAACAATGGAGAACTATTCCTCCACTGACACCAACAATGTGGCACTATTCCTTCCACTGATGTCAGCAGTGGGGCATACTGTAACTTCTGACACTGATACAAGCAGTAGGCCACTATTCCTTCCACTGACACCAATGATGGGGCAGTATTCATCCCAATGACCCCAACAATGGGGGGCACTATACCTCCCACTGACACCAATGATGGGCACTATTCCTTCCACTGACGCCAACACTGGGGCACTATTCCTTCCACTGATGCCAACAATGGGGCATAATTCCTCTCACTGACACCAATGATGGGGCACTATTTCTCCACTGATACCAATGATGGAGCACTATTTCTCCCACTGGCCCCAATGATGGGGCGCTAGTCTTCCCACTGACTCCAATGATGGGGCACTATTCCTCCCACTGACTCCAATGATGGGGCACTATTCCTCCCACTAATACCAATAATGGGGCATTTGTTACTAAAGGACAGTAGACTGGCCCTTTGTTTAGAAAGTTTGGAGAACCCCCCGTGCAAATCATGGGGAGTGTTCAGGCACAAGCCCCAATTGTCAGACCAGAAACAGGATTCTTGCACCATTGCTTTGCTAATATAGGACAGCACTGTAATTTGATGGAAGCTTTCTGCAAAAACTAGAATTGTTTTGTACAGGTTGCTAAAATAAGTTGTTTTATTCATGTTGTCCTTGGATACAATTCTACTGTGTTCTCTGCAGAGGCTTCTCCTGTACTCAGAGACTTGGCTTAGTGTTGTGTTCCACAATAAGAGACGTAAACACCTCCTATGAAGAATAGCCAAAATGAAGCACTCAGGATGCTGGAAAGAAAGGACGTGAGACCTGTTTTGTGAAAACCAGAAAAAAACAAGAATAGTGATTTTGTTCATAGCCAACCATCAGGCTTTAGTCTAAAACCTCCATTTGGAGATTAAACTAGGAATCGGGGTCACAGAGGCTTCATTTTCTTTGCTCCTGTTTCATAACTTACACTTACCCTTTATCAAAAGTTGTAGGTACAGTATAGGTTGTTGACCTAGAGATTGCCAAATTAATCTACTGTATTTCCCAATTCTGTTCCCCTTCATCTCCTGATGAAGCTACTGGCGGGCGAAACGTGGTAAGAAAAAGAGGAAGACTGCTCCTCAGTGACCAGAGAGTATCCATGCTGATGGACGCTCCAGTCTTGTTGAGGACACACAGTGGTGGTATAGAGGGCTGGCCATTTGGGGATAAGTTCCTTGTGGAATGGTGCTTAGACAAGGAGGATTTTTTTTTTATCTGCATATGAGGTGTGACCGTTTAATTCCCCGGAATGCCTGCAGCGTAGAACCATGGTGGTGAGTCACACAGCCATTCACATTTGAGTGTGTTTTGACATGTTCTAACTTGTACTCGCCTCGGTAATGGACCAGTTGACTCGGTCTTCACTGAGTAGTGGAAGACATAACAAGTGTGTACCTTGCGCTGTTGGTGGAAAATGAGTGACAGGAATCTGGAGCAGCGGATTAACACCAATTTTGCGAGAAAAAATTAGCAAAAGTGCGAGTAAAACTTTAGCTCTGTTACAACAGGCTTGTGGTAAACATTCTATGAGGAAATAAAGTGTTTTTGAAAAGCACAGGCAGTTTCAACGGTCAACCAATCCAACATTGTTATATGGAAATTCTGAAAAAGGTTACGGGAATGTGTTTGGAGGAAAAGGCCAGAAGCCTGGCCTGAAAAGTGGATTCTCCACCATGACAATGCTCCTGCGTTAAAGTGTTACTAAACCCAGGACCCTGCAATCACTATATCCGAGCTCCCGGTCCCTGCATTCACTATATCCAGCCTCCCCGGACCCTGCATTCACTATATCTGGTCTCCCCGGACCCTGCATTCACTATATCCAGCCTCCCCAGACCCTGCATTCACTATATCTGGTCTCCCCGGACCCTGCATTCGCTATATCTGGTCTCCCCAAACCCCGCATTCACTATATCTTGTCTCCCCAGACCCTGCATTCACTATATCCGGTCCTCCCCGGACCCTGCATTTACTTATATCCGCTCTCCCCGGACCCTGCATTCACTATATCCGGTCTCCCCAGATCCTGCATTCACTATATCCGGTCTCCCTGGACCCTGCATTCACTATATCCGGTCTCCCTGAACCTGCATTCACTATATCCAGTCTCCCCGGACCCTAAATTCACTATATATGGATTCCCCAGACCCTGAATTCACTATATCTGGTCTCCCACAGTCCACAGAACACGGAAATGCAATTTTTTTTAGTAAATATAACCTGCTAAATACCTTTTCTCATCAGCAGTTAGAGAAGTCTTGTGACTTCAGCAGAGCACTGGTTAAAGCTCGTAGGAGGAGTTTTCTTTCTGCTCTGGGAGGATGTGAAACCTCTGACCCTCTGTCTGGACAGTACTGATTGGCACGTTACGTGGGCATCATGACGCAACGCGTCGGTACGCATTGACAGCATCTCAGGGTACCCTGAGGAAGTCTCGTGGGCATCGTGACGCAATGCGTCGGTACGCATTGACAGCACTTCCGGGCGTGGTGACGTCGTTTCCGGCACGGACGCCATATTGGAACTTCAGAACCATGAGTATACACCCATAATATGGGAAAAAGGCTTATCTGTTTGTTTTTCATTTGAGTGGGCATTTTACATTGCGTTTGTTTAACCACTTGCCGCCCTGCCACTGTAGAAATACGGCGGCAGGGCGGCACGGGCAGGCAAAACCACGTTTTTAAAACGTGTGTTTTGTAAACAGGTAGGGGGCTTGCGCGAGGCGCGCTGCCGCCCTACCTGTCCCGCCGATCACAGCCGCGGATGTCAGTCGCCGGGTCACAGCCGGTCCTTACCGGCTATCTCCCGGCGATCGGCGGCAATCAGTGACAGAGAGCACGGCTGCAGTAGCTGTGCTTTCTGTCACTTCCCTGACAGCTCCAGGACAAGATGATCTGGACAGAAGAGTTTCACTCTCCGATCAGCCGTGTCCCCTGCAGTACACCCCCGCCCCCTAGTAAAACACGCCCCCTCCACAGATAACCCTTCCCTGCAAAATAAACTTAACCCCTTCCTCCCCAGTGCCATTAGTACAGTGTCAGTGTTTTTTTTTTTTACACTGATCACTGTATTGGTGTCACTGGGGATGTCACGGACCCCAAGTCAGTACCCCCCCCAGTGTCAGAATGTCCGCCGCAGTCCCGCCATAAGTCGCTGATCGCCACCATAAAGTCCTTGATCGCCACCATAAGTCGCTAATCGCCACCATTATTAGTATAAAAAAAACCCTAAGAATCCCAGTATCTTTACCGCCATTTTTAAACGCTATAACTGTCACGTAAACCAATTAATTTACACGTATTGGGTTTTTTTTTAGCAAAGACATGTCGCAGAATATATTTTGGCAGAAATTTATGACTAAATTTGATTTTTACATTTTTTTTTTTACTGGACATGTTTTATAGCAAAAAGTCCAAAATATTGTGTTTTTTCCTCAAAATTGTCAGCCTTTTTTTTATAGCGCAAAAAATAAAAACAGCACAGGCAATCAAATACCACAGAAAGAAAGCTCAATTTGTGGGGAAAAAAAGGATGTAAATTTAATTTATGTACCATATTGCATGCATGACCGCGCAATTGTCCATTAAACTAGCGCAGCGCTGTATAGCAGAAAAATGGCGTAAATTGCAGTATATTTATACCATAGTTTGTAGACGCTGTAACTTCCACACAAAGCAATCAATATACACTTATTGGGATTTTTTTTTACCAAAACTATGTAGCAGAATACATTTTGGCCTAAATTTATAACCAACTTTGAGTTTACTATATATTTGTTATAGCTGAAATTAAAAAATATTGTTTTTCTTCAAAATCTTTGGCCTTTTTTTGTTTATAGCGTAACAGGTGATCAAATACCACCAAAAGAAAGCTCTATTTGTGTGAAAAAAAGGACGTAAATTTCGTTTGGGTGCAGCATTGCATGAATAATCCGCGCAATTATCAGTTGAATTATGCAGCACCGAGTAGCAAAAAGAGACGTGGTCATTAAGGGGGTAAATCCTCTGGAGGTAAAGTGGTTAATAAAAATACTGGATTACACTATGGAAGGATCTTCTTTGTTTTTAATGTGATCCTGTGGTGGAAACGATTGTCTGTCTGGGAGTTCCTGGCTACTGGAGAGAACCCAGGAGTATTGAGGTCACTGTTTGTACATAAGGAGGTCCTATTGGAGACGTGGTTACTTCTGAGAATACGTGGGCTGCCCACAAAGCGAGTAGGCCCTTGTGGTCAATGTAAAGAGGTGAGAAGGCACTTTGGCCACTTATGGATATCCTAACACAGTGTGTGGCACCATAATCACCCCATGATTTTGTCGATTCCACATGTCCTTTGCACATTATTTATTGCAACAATGGACTTTTTTTTGGCATGCATTGTATTTATGTGAAACACTTGCACCTTATTAGCCATTGAGTTCCCCTATAGGGAATCACTTGGATCACAGTCATTTGCTCCCCCTGAAGGGGGATAAGTCTGTTTGGGGGGGATCACGTGTGACATTTGTGACAGTACACCCCAGGGGTGGACTGACAACTCATGGGGCCCCCAGGCAATAGGGGATCATGGGGCCCCTGTGTCCTCGCCCACACTCAAACCACACCCAAAAAAGCCTATGAAAGGTACCAGGGACATCTCATGGGGGGCCCCCTACTGACCCTGGGCCCTCGGGCAGTGCCCGAGTTCCCCAATAGTCAGTCCACCCCTGGTACACCCATTCATGTTTTATGTTTAGGGCTATACTATGTGTTATTGATGTCTTTGCTTAGTTTTTAGTTCTTACAGCGCTTCAGCATTTTTTAAAAACAAGCACGCTTTACTGCATCTACAGACTGATTTTACTGTTGTGTTTAGTAACACTTTAAGTCTTGGTTCCCCAGATATCTGTTCCAAAGCTTGACCAACCACCTTATTCCCCTGATTTAGCAACCAGCGACTTTTGGCTGTTTTTGAAATTTAAAAATGCCTGAAAAGGACACAGATTTGATGACATTCCGCATATCCAGCGCGCTGCGACAAAGATACTGCACAACGTTCCAGAAAACAAATTCCAGGAATGTTTCCAGGAGTGACAGTCATCTAGAAAAGTACATCTTCCCCCTCCCTTCACAAGGGACTACTTTGAAGGTGACAACAGCCACTAGTGTATAGATGGGCAAACATTTTTTTTTCTACAGTCCATTCCAGGGATTAAATTGTATCTTGTATTCTATATATATATTTGATGTTTAATAATAAAGTAGATTTTAATACAAGGTTGGTTTGTAATCTCAACAACCATGTTTTGAGATGGTCTGTATTTGCCGATATTGGTTGTTGGGACGTGGTGCTTAGACCCAACCAGGGGCGGACTGACCATTTGGAAATTCAGGCACTGCCCGAGGGCCCAGGGTCAGTAGGGGGCCCCATGAGATGCCCCTGGTACCTTTTTCATAGGTTTTTTGAGTTTGGGCAAGGACACAGGGGTCCCATGATCCCCTATTGCCCGGGGGCCCCATGAGTTGTCAGTCCGCCCCTGGACCCAACCATCAGACCAGTTTATAACCTGTACTATATTCTAGTCCGCCCAGTCTGGAGTTTGGTACTTTAATGCAGCCTTTCTCAACCTGGGTGCTCAGGCACCCTGGGGTGCCTTGAGGTTTCTTCAGGGGTGCCTTGGCAAAATGTCTAAAAAAATTGACCAAACTTGTATACAAGCCAATGGGTGGAACAAGCCTGCCTTTAGTTACACAAAGCCACAGGTTCTCATTGTGCACCATTACGACCTTCTAACCACTGGCATCCTGACAACCAATGACATCATCAGTTGATAAGGAGGATGTCAGCTACCTGCACAGCATCCTAGTTTGACCCTCCCCTGCTCCTCTCCATCAGTGCTGGGGTCACATCCACTCAGTGCTGGAGAAAACTGAGGGAGAAGAGAAACACTGGAATACTAGTCAGTACCAGCGTGCAAAAGTGTATTTGCATTGGAAGAATAAGTCACCTCTAATGTTGGGTGTCCTCCATGTGGGGGTGTTGCTGCGTTATATGAAACCATTAGAATAGTATTTCACATTTTAGAATGGGGTGCCCTTTAAAAATTATGGACAGTGTAGGGGTGCCTCCCATAATTTTAAAGGTGCCTCGGGACTGTACATAATTTTAACCACTTCCAGTCCGGACACTTCCCCCCCCCCCCCCCCCCTTCCTGCCCAGGTTAATTTTCAGCTTTCAGCGCTATCACACTTTGAATGACAATTGCGCGGTAATGCAACACTGTACCCATATGAATTTTTTTAGCATTTGTTTGAGACAGATAAAGCTTTATGTTGGTGGTATTTATTCACCGCTGGGATTTTTTTTTTTTGATATGTAAATTAAAAAGTCCAAAAATTTTGAAAAAAAGTGTTTTTCTTATAAAATTTTGCAAATAAACAGTATTTTATCATGAATCTTGGCCAAAATTTATTCCGTTATCTTTTTAGTAAAAAAAAAAAAAATAACCCCAATTAGTTTATAACCAAAAATTATAATTTTTAAAATTTTTACATTTTTTGAATATTTATTTTTTTACATACTGTCACCCTAGCAGTATAGTGTCACCATGGTGACACTGTACTACTTGTGGGGGGTGATGAAGATTTTTTTTTTTTTTTTTTTTACACTGATTGCTTTTACACCCATAAAGGCTATAAAAGCAATCATTTCTCCTTCTCTCCAGCTGCATTCTTGCAGCCATTGAGAGCTACTGAGTGGGCTATGATTGGTCACAGCTTGTCACATGGTACAAGGCTGTTGTGAATAGCTCTGTACCATGTGATCTCTGTGATCATTC